GAATCATAACCGCAATTAGCAAATTAGGCTATAGATGGAATGAAGAAATTAAATGGATGTGCTGCTCTGCAAGTGCAAAAATAAATTAATTTGGCCCTGTCACAGCCCACTAGAATGTGGGGAGGTTTAATATAATCTTCTAAAGCTTTCCGCCCAGAATCCTGCCATAGGAAAACAGCATAGCACACCAGGCACAGATGTATTTGATCATTTTTTTTAACGAATATGAAAAGTAGTTTGAAAATAATAAAGTGATAATAAAGGATGCCTATTCCTTAAAGCAACGAATTCCAGTTGGGTAAAAATTTGCCAACTTTGCCACCTTATAAAGCAATTGCTGTCTCTTTCCTTCACATCTGAATTTTACAACTTTGGAAAACGTTCCTTGCAAGGAGAGAAGGGATCTCGCACGCCGCTGGCAATCTTCTTGCCATAAATTTCTACTTTGTGCTCTTCTAATCCCATATCTTGAATCATCCACGGGTCTGTCAATTAAAACCTCAGAACACATTGTCCAAAACTGTAGGAATGGGCCTTCTGTAGAGCCAACTGGCATGTAAGCAAGGCAGCACAATGAATAGCGTTTGGGTCAGATTTTTTTTCTAAGATAACATGTCGGTATATAGTTGACGCTTGAACAACACAGAGGTTAGGAATGCTGAGAACACTACAGTTGAAAATCTATCTTGTAAATTTGTCTCCCCCAAAACTTAACTACAGTTGTCCCTCAGTATCTGAAGGGGATTGGTTCTGGGGCCTCACAAGCCCCACAGAAACCAAAATCCACGGATGCTCAAGTTCCTTTTTAAAATGGATTTCCAAACTGAGCCCCGAAAATACCGACAAGTGGTTGGTTGAATCCACAAATGGGAAAGCTGGGGGTAGAGGGCCAATTGTTTATTTATTGAAAACCCAGGTAATAAGTGGACGCATACAGTTCAAATACATATTGTTCAAGGGTCAACTATAGTTTACTGTATTTTTTAAAAAAGGCCTTAAATATGTTTAAAAAGTTACTCTAAAATTCAAAATTTTATTTAAAAGTCTTTTATCAAGAAACTGTATCTAGGCACAGAACGTTTATTGAACTCCAAAAGAAAGTCTAGTAACTTATTTTTTCAACTTATTTTTTCTTTGAATTATATCAAACTTATCATAACTATTTTTAGAGCCTTAGCATAAGAGTGGCCTTTAGGTCATTCAGTTTATTCCAATTACCATATCTGGAAAGCTCACCCTGAACCACCGTAGGAAGAGGCACATTTTCATTCTGTTATGGAAGGTTTGACCACAATCCTCATTAAACGACTCAAGTACAAATGTTCTCCTCGCATTTGAAAGTATGGCAAACTCTCATCCACTTTAGGCTAATATTAAAATGATGATGCTCCCATGACAGAGAACAAGTGGGATGATGAGGAATTTGTAGCACATAATGGGGGACAGTCTGAGGAGGACAGTGTTGTGTGTGTGTGTGTGTGTGTGTGTCATACACAACAGTAGTGAATTGACTAAAGAAAAGTAGAAGCCAGTTAGCAAACAGCCGCTTTCCTAGTCCTCCAATGCCTTCTGGCTGGGCTCGCACCCGGCATCCTTACCAGCAAGTTCAGTTGTGTCTGCTCTTGGTTCATGGCTTTGGCACCGAGGAAACTCCTTGAGCAGCGGTTCTCAACCTTTGGGTCGCGACCCCTTTGGCGGTCGAACGACCCTTTCACAGGGGTCGCCTAAGACCATCCTGCATATCAGATATTTACATTACGATTCATAACAGTAGCAACATTACAGTTATGAAGTAGCAACGAAAATAATTTTATGGTTGGGTCATAACATGAGGAACTGTATTTAAAGGGCCAGAAGGTTGAGAACCACTGGTCTAGGGCCTCTTCACCTCCAGTGGCCGAGCAAACCAGGCCAGTTTGCTCTGTGTCCCAAGCCCTCATTTCCCAGAATCCTCCTAAGTGTATGTACTCTCACCTTCTTCCTAGGGAGACCTCAAGAGTTGTCAGGGTCTATCAAGGATAAATCCGGAGGGCGGGGGGCAAGGGTGGGGTGGAGGGGGTCAATGAGGAGGAAAGGGGGACATTTGTAATACTTTCAACAATAAAGATAAATTTAAAAAAATTCTCAAAGCTTAAAATAAAAAATAAATCCAGAATGTTCCGAGCTAATCTTGCTTCAGGCCAGACCTAGAATCGTCTTGTTAAAGTGAATTTAATGTTAGCATCTAGCTGGCTTCCAGACGGCATCTTTCATATTTTTTACTTCCCATCTGCCATGTGAAGAATCTCTCTTCCAGGATAATGCGTATTTCAACTTCTGTTGTTACTACTGCTACTATTGTTAGTAACAATAATAAATAGCCTTTAGACATTCAGCATAAAGTGCCACCGACTTCTCTACACATATAAACCCCACTTAGTCTGCCTTACAACCTGTGAGATAGGTTTTGTCTATTATCGCTGGTTTAAAAACAGACCAAAGATCAGTATTAAGGTTCAAACCTGGCAATTTGGGTCTAGAATTCATGCTCTTAGACACTATATCATACAACTTTTGCTTGTGTACTGTAAAGAATATTCCATCAAGACCAAAGACCTGGGTTTCTAGTTTTGTTTCTAATGCTGAATTAACTGTGTGACTTAGGGCAAGTCGTTGACTCAATTTCCACTATATAATGAGGCAGGCTCAAGGAGTAACTTTTCGTTATATAATGCCGTAATGATAGAACAGGTGCTTTGCCTTAACAAACTTGACTTCGCTGGATGAGCAAGGGCATTTAAAGCTTGAAAATGAAATCTATGTAAGGGAAGGAAAGACGCAAAGAATAACTAAGCCAATCTTCTGAGCATTTTCAGCTACTTTCTCATTTCACATTCTGTAATACAAGCACTGGATTAATATTTCCCAGAGGAAAGCACAGACTCAGAGATTGGTTCCTTTATCTGAGGCCACACAGGAAGTCAGGATGGAGAGCCAGCGTCGGAATGCCGCCCAGGCCCAAGCACTTTCTGCCGGACCACAGTGCTCCTCCGGCACTGCCTTCTCCTCCCGGCAGCAGTGAGCAGAGCTTTAAGAGGTGCTGTACCTGCAGCACCCAGCACAAGGTCTTGCAAACAGCACAGACACAAGAAACTAATTTGGAGGTAAGAAAGGAGATGGACAGGTGAATACCAACTTGAAAGTGCTAACATATTGTAATTTTAAACAAAAGCGGGTAACATTTTTATGTGCCTTCTGTAAGGTGGGCTGAATGCCATATCAAAACAAGTGAATTTCTGGAGGGAGAGTTTGAATTTATCCCTAAGTAAACAGTGAAGAAATACCACAAGAAGGCCAACATGTGTGTCATTTCTGGACCACGTACACGAGTTCTTGTGGTATTTGGCTGCATGAAATAACTTCCTAATAATAACTCAGGATTATTTTGCTTAAAGGAATCTCCCTGTTTCCCTAGCCAGAATTTCACAAGTAATACCAGTGAAAAAGGAAATTCTCGTTGTACTGGCTGCTTAAAGGAGGGCAGGAAAGTCAGAAACTACTGTGCCAATGGATTAAATTACTATTTTGGTTTGGAAATGGAGTCACTTGCTCATTCATTAATTCATGCAACCGATAATAGTTGAAGAGTTTTTGAAAAGCATGACTGGGTCTCACTGCAGAATACTGACTTAGGTTTGGAAACCACTGAACTAGATTATCTTGAAGGTTCTTTCCAATCCTGGGATTATTTTACTTGGAAATATTTTGTACACATTCAATACCCAACAGCTCTTTATTTGGGGGGTGGGGGTGAGGGGGCATATACATTAAGCACCAACATTACTTAGAGTAAACGCATTATTTCTATAAGACGGGTAAAGGTTCTGTCCCCCAGCACTACGCATTCATATTACAAACCCAGAGAGACCCATAAGAAAGAAACTGAAGATGAAAACATATGACACTTCACCTGAAATAAACTTTTCTCCCTGTGGTTATCTGACACAAAACCCATCATATTTCTGAGGCAGGAATAATTCGTGACTCTAATATAAGCACCAATTTTTGCAGAGGTGATGGGGAGACAGTAGTGGGGCAGGTGGTGGGGGGGCGCTGCCTGAGTCTGAGAACTTGTTAAGTCCTGAGAATGACTAAGGATTTTGAAAGTTTGATTGGGATTTAGCTATATTATATTTTTGGCATTGAAAAAGAAAACCCATGCTTCCATATAGATTTTATGTTAAATTATCACATCATTCATAGAAATAGCAGATACACCCTCACTCTAAATAGACTTATATTTACATAAAAGGATTCATAGATTAGGAGAAAATTATTACAGGATTTCTTTGAACATAAAATTCCTGAGTCAAAATGCCTTTTAAAAATTAATGAATAAATTAATGATTGACTATCCCTTCAATTTCTACACAGTATGAATGACTTTCTTAAAATATCCATTGAAATAGTATTCAGACTCAATAGGTAAAATGGCCATTTTAACAGATACTTAGCTTGTTTCTCAACTTTAAATTACACTAGTAAATTAATTTAACCAAAAATGCATAAAAGAAATCAAGATTCCATTTTTTAATGTTATTAATCTTTCTCTAGATTTAAAATGGGTAAAAATTTGCCTTATACCCATGCTCTGGCATCATCTTATGGTAAAGAACCAGGCAAAGGTTTGTGCATAACCAAACATGCCTGGTTGTTAAAAGAACTCATATTGTAGTATTCCGATTTCTCCTTATTTTTATAAATAAACTTTAACAGTAAATGGAACTTGCACTTTTGTGTATTATGTGATGAGATCCACTTCTGAATCAGTTTTAAAACACCTGAGCATACATACCAGCTCTAAAATGCTTTATGATTCACAAAATGAACAGGCCTTCTCAAATAACCTCAGAACAGAAGCCATAGTTTCTATCATTAAACAGAGAATTCTGGTGTTGATAACAAAAAAACAACATAAAGTGTAGCACAAACAAAATGTACAGTACAAAGCTTTCGCTTACTTGGTACTAGGCCGTTTTTGTAGGGCTTTATCCAGGATAAGAGATGGTGCGCTCCTCCTTCTTTCTGCTAAGGTTTTCATTTTCTGTTGAGGAAAAAGAATCAGAATGAAGACCACGTGGCTTTTAAAGAAAGTAAATGCCAATTTTCAGTTGAATTCAGCAAGTTTTATATTGCCTGTTTTTGTCTATGAAGAAGTTCACAATCTCATTATGAAGATAAAATGGTAACATCTAAAGTAGTATAGATACTAAGTGTCAAAAAGTAGTATAGAAAGTAAATATTTTTTAGTCCTCATCCAAGGATATATTTAGAGAGAGGAATGGAGGGAGGGAGGGAAGGAAAGAGGGAAAATGAGAGAGAGAGAGAGAGGGAGAGAGAGAGAGAGAGAGAGAGAGAGAGATGTGAGAGAAACATTGATTGGTTGCCAACTGGGGATTAAACCCCCAACCTAGGAATGTGCCCTGAGTGGGAACTGAATCCACAACCTTTTTGGTGTATCAGGAGACACTCCAACCAACTGAGCCACAGAGCCAGGGTGAAACTAGGCCAGGCTGAGGGACACCCCCCCCCCGCCCCCAGGGCACAAATTTCATGCACCGGGCCTCTAGTCATATATTTAAAACCTCTAGACAGAGTCAGAGGGCCTACCAGAGAATATGGATGAGTAAAATTAACAGCAGTCACTAAGATCCATGAGTGAAGCTCAGGCTGTATTACCGAAGCCATTCTTTCTGCTCTACCCTCTCACCCTACCCACCGCCTGAGGGTCCAGGCCAGCCTTGTTTGGTAACTGGGTGCAGCTCTAATATGAACTATGTAAGACTAACCGGCTCAGCATCAGTATGGCATCACAGGATTCATAAAGGAATTGCTTCTTTTTGTTTGTTTTTAAATCTTTATTGTTGAAAGTATTACATATGTCCCTTTCCCCCTTCTCTGCCTTGACCCCTTCTAGCTGGCCGAAACTGCTTCTTAGTTGCTAAAATACAGCCTAGACCTTAGCACAGGAACAGAGAGAGAAACACTAGTGAAAAGGGGATGCTGGACTTCTTTGGCACAGTTCTTATCCCCAGATTCACCCCCGCCCCATCCCCGTCCCTGTCCAAGGTTCTCTCTCAAATATTCATTGTCCCCAGTGCCATGGTCTCAGTGTTGCTGTTTCCCCTGTTAATCTTTTGGCTCACATGTGGAAACTGCATGCCCAAACCTCCTTAGCATAGCTCAGATAGCAAATGAAACAATAATATAAAACATTAATAAAAGGACAGGAAACAAATAGATAAGAAATACAGAATACATTTCTCAGCCAGGAGTTATTAACCATGAATTAGTTTCAGGGCTGGTTAAATTGTATGAAATTATTTTTATACTATGGATTTGGTGCCTTCCTCCTAAAAGGAAAGCCCACCTATGGTTTCATCAGAGCCCCACAATTGTCTATAATCCCCCCAACCCCAGTAACTCTGATAACCTACTTCATATATTATAGCTGTCAACCTCATCCCACTGTTTCCATCAGTCACACCTTTTGGGAACATAGCTCTCAGGAATCTAACATCTGGAGGTTGGTGTGGCTGCACCGGCTACAGGAGAAGAGGAATCAGGAAGACGAGCGCTTGCCTCAAGAGAAGAGTCTCAATACTGGAAGACGGATAGATTTTTACTAAGAAAGGTGGCAATTTGTTCATATGTAGACTTTCTATGGGATTCTGTTTCACCTCAGGTCTGAGCTTGTTTCCTACTCACTATTCTGACTCCTTAGTCAGGATCCGTTTACCATGCTTTGAACTCTGAAATGTGTCCAGTCCTTTACCTGGGCCCATACCCTCTTTTGACATCAAGGATCTGTCTGTCCAGCCTTCATTAGTGGGATGAGGAGTGTGGGGGGGCGGGCACTCCTGGACCTATCTCAGCAGTCTTACTTCTGCTGCCCCTAACCCTCTAAAACCACTCACTGTCAGAAGATCAAAGCTCCTAAACTAGATCTTCATTAATTATATAATTTCTAATTCTGAGCACCTTGGTTTTCAGGTTTATAAAGAAATTGAAAGGGATCAAAAGGCAGACATAAAAATGATTTAAATTGTGGAGGAAAAAAAATCCTGTGAGAAAAGTTAAACTGAGCTGAATTATTCATTTGGAGACATTAATAACCTCCAAATGTAGAGGTTATTAATAACCACCAAAATTAATTAATGTAGAGTTATAATATAGAGGATAGGACATATCTTCCAAGGAAGATAAGGCAAAAAGAAACTAGTAAACTGTAGACTGAGAATCCAGGTTGATCTTGGGTAGTGGTTTGTTGAGAAATTTATAAAGATGTGAACTAAATTATGTAGATAATTTCAGGGGGTTCAGAAACCCACATAATATGGATTTCGTAGGGATTCATGGAACCCAAATATGAGACCTTCTAATGTAAGGGAATCTTTCTGAGAGTGATGGCTGTCAAGCATGAGAATGGATAATCAAAAAGAGGTGACATACCTTTTTCTATACAGCTCCTTTTAAAATAGTTTTTTCATGGAGACATAATATAGGGGATCGTTTGAACACATAGTAATTAGGCTGTGTTTTCTTGGTTATAAAATTGTATGAGGAGTCAAATGGAGCATATCTACCTCATTTGTTAACTCAGTTTCAAGAGAATACAATCAAACTACAGGCAGAATATTATATTTATTTGAGGTCCTATTGTTTGTACTGAGACATTCTCTACCACTAATGAGCTATGCAACTCAAGGCAATCCAGTCACTTCTCTAGGCCTCCATGTCCTTATCTAGAAAATGAGAAAATCTGAACCACATACAGTAGTTTCTTAGGTACCTTCTATTTCTGAAAGTCTCATGTTAAATGTCCACCAAAGACTCACCCTGGATTTGCAAGAAAACTAACATTACCTACATCACACATTTAGGATTCATTTCTCTTGTAAGTAATGAGTCTTAAGAGTTGCCAACATGAGGGCTTAATAAACAAATTTAAGTATTAATTTACTCAAAATGCACAGATCCCTTTCTCTTGCTCAAAAGTATAGCCAAACAAAGGGCCAATGTAACTTTTAAACAAATTCCCATATCAAAGAATCTGTTCTCAGGCAGTAAAGACGTGGTATTCTTTTTGTTTATAACAACCCTGTAAAATACAATGCATGGAGATAGACTAAGGCTACTGATCCCTTTATAAATATACAGTAATACAAGCTTGTCAGGACAGGTTGCACCAACAAATTTCACACTTGTTCAGCGACAGTGCAAACTATGACTCTTTGCCTCACAGGAAACAGAAGGTAGGTTTAGAACAGTGTGTATTTTCTTTATTAGCTTAAAAATCACAATCCACAGTGTGATTTTTCAGAAAGTCCAAGTTCTTGATGCACATATCTAGATGCTAAATATTGGATGCCATTCTGAAACAGAATAATCTTTTAAAAAAGTGATATTATTTTCTAAATCGATAAACTACACATTAGGCAATAAATTCAATTGCATTAATCTTCTGGGAATACGTTTCTTGATCTCATACCATTTGCCTACCCTTACACAGCCCACAAAGCTAGTCAAGAGTTTAATATGAGCTAAAAACCAAACAAACGTAAGCGTCCTTTACTTGCTCCTTCACCCCTAAATGGGGAAGTTGAGGAGGAGCTTGGAAAAGTCCTAAAAGGAAATAAATAGTAACTGAATTTTAAAAACGGCTGTGTTTTTTATTAATAACAATTAGGAAAGTAGACCATGAACACTAGAGGGAAATTAGACCTTGGATTTTCTAAACTGTCTCCTCCGTATTGAAGGCAAAAACCCGACCCACCCAAAGAGTAAGTGAACAGAGGTCATGATCGAAGATGAGAAGCCAAGGTCTATAAGGAAATGTTTTTTGTATTCAATAATAACACAAAACTCTACCAACATTACCAGGTAATCTGCAAGGTGCTTTCCACTTCAACTCTCTTTTAGTCAGCTGGATTAACTATACATTCAATATCCCGTGTTCCTAGCTTGCTTTACACACTATGTTTCCATTATAGCCTTTCATATTATAGTATTTATTTTTCTGCACCTTTTAAGAAAGCAGGGACTATATCTTCTTTTCAAACTATCTCCCATCCCTCAACAATTATTTTCTGGAATTCTACTCTGTAGCAGGCCTATCTTTTAATTCCCAAAGCATAACACAAGGCCGGGCAAACACTATACACCGAGTAAGTGAAAGTTTTATGTGAACTTTAAAATACACTCCTCCACATTTAGACCAATGTCTCCCCCGACCCCTCCCACCCCCCACACACACTCAGAAAAACAAACCAACCAACCTCTAGGGGACTCTGCAGGAATGTCCTCATTAAGAAAACCTAAGGGTTACCTATGGTGCAGGATGGTAAGAGTCATTCTTGCACACTGCGAACTACATCATTGGACACAGTGTCCATGTTTACCACTTTGAGCTACATAGTAACAATTTGTCTGATGATAACTTTAATTATTTCCAATAAATGGTGACAGAACAACTGGATACCCACATGTAAAGGAATAAAACTGGACTTCTATCTCACACCATACACAAAATTTAACTCAAAATGGATCAAAGATCTGTAAGTAAGAGAAGAAACTATAAAAATTTTAGAAGAAAACATAGGCAGGAATATTTTTGACCTTGGATTGGGCAATGGTTTCTTAGATATGACACCAAAACCACAAAGCAACAAAAGAAAAAATATAAATTAGAAATGACTGTCAACATGAAAACCTCTGTGCTTTAAAGGACACTATCAAGAAGTGAAAAGAAAACCACCATGAAAGATGTTCAACATCATTAGCCATCAAAAAAAATGCAAATCAAAACCATGAACTACCACTTTATACTCCAGGATGACTACACTAGAAAAGACGGCTAAATAACAATTGTTGACAGGATGTGGATATACTGTACTCTGCGTTCTCCAGTCATGTCCCTAATCTAACCTTGTCCTGCTGGTGTGGATTGTAAAATGGTGCTATCACTTGGAAAACAGTTTGGAAGTTCTACGAATGGCTAAAGATAGTTACCATATGATCCTGCAATTCCTCTTAAGTATACACAAGAGAAAACACGTCCACACAAAAGCATGAATGTTCACAGAAGCTTTATTCACAATAGCCAAAAAGTGGCGACAACTTCAATGTCCACTAATTGATGAATGAATAAACGCAATGTGGTATATACATAAAATGGAATATTACTTGGCAATAAAAGAAGTACTGATGTGCAAAACCATGAATGATTTTTGAAAACATTATGTTAATTAAGAAAGTCAACCCCAAAAGACCACATATTATATGGTTCCATTTATAGGAAATATCCAAATAAATCCGTAGAAACTTAAAGTAGGTTAGTGCTTCCTGGGGTTTGGGGAGATGAAAAGACTGGGTTATGATGGCTAAGGAGGGTGGTGATTCTTTCTGGGGTGATGAAAATGTTCTAAAATTGACTATGATGATGAATGCACAATTTTGTGAATATAGTAAAAGCTATTGAATTGTATACTTTAAGTGGATAAGCAAGTTATAGCTCAGTAAGGCTGTTAAAAATGCTAACTACCAAACTCCTAAACCATTGAGCTTAGGAGCAAACTGGTTCATAACCAGAACCTATAATTTGTGTGTATAACTATTATCTGAAGTATAATGCCTAAGAATGGAACTCACTTATGTGTTTTGTGTTGAACATGTCTTGTACTAAATGTCTGAGTGGTTGCCCATCTGAATACCTTATAGACCTGAGGAACATGCCCACCTGCCTACTGTCTGCCACCATCCCCTTCCATCCCGCAGTGCCCTACTCAGTATTTCCACATAGTATATCTCAATGCCTGTGTGTTAAGTCAATGAGTTAAATACACACTGACTGTATAGTTGAGGGTTTAAGTTGGTAACATAGTGTGCCTATGTAGGAAAACGCAGTCAGAAACAGGTAACTGCAGAAGAAAAGTTTGTTTCTTTTGTTCAACAACTCAGCAAATACCGTTTACATAAAAACCTATATGTAGCCTTTCATTGGAATTTTAACGTCATGAGATACAGTATTATTTTTGAAACCTCTACATAAATCTGAATCTGGTTATTTTTAATTAGATCAAAGGAAAAGGAAACCTATCAAAAGAAAGGAACTGCAATTTTTCGTACTTTGTTTTTCCCAGTCACTTTATGAAGAAAAATTCAAGCATTTCAGCTGAATTTAAGTCAAATGTGCTGAAGTCACTTTTAAACATTTAAAATTAGCATAGCATTAAAAGAAGGGCTTTGATGAAAACTTTTAAGTACTCAAAAGTTTCAACGCTGGAAAAAATATTTAATCACATTTGCAAATTAGCTTATTCAGATTTGACTATTATTCCTTTGGTGGCCAGTCCTTACAATTTTTTGTCTTCCCCGGAGGCCTGCAGCACTTATTTGTGGAGGCATACCCCTAAGACATGGCTCTGCAAGGGAAGAAGAATATTCTTAACCTTGCACCTTGCTCCTCAGGCCCTGTTCTCACATGAGCAAGCTGAAGCTTCTTACAGTGATCAGTGTGGTCTCTGGTGAGTATGATCTCCCATTTACTCACAATCATCCCATCTGGAATCACGTTGAACATTTAATTAACACCAATGTCATCACAACACAGACGGCAGTAAAGGAATATAGTAGTTCTTTTCTGAGGTTAAGAAAGAAACATTTTTTTACCTTTGGCTGTCTTTCCTCTTTTTGTGAGAAAACCACTTTGAAATAAAATAATAAACATGAGAATCAATGTGATGTAGAGGAATGGGTACAGGGCTAAGAGACATTAGATATCAGT